AGCCCAAACCCAGCTGCCAGATGTTCCAGAGGTGGGGCTCAGCTTTTGGGCAAGCCCTGGCTGTGGCAGAGCCCAGTGCACGGGGCACAGCCCCGGGCTGGGTGTGCTGGGTACCCTGCCCACGAGGCAGGGACGGGGACAAGCCGGGCTGCCCCGTGCCAGGAGCTCAGCCCGGGGAGCCAGCTCCAGCAGCACTGCCTGCCCTCACCCGGACCCTCTCAGCCCTTCCCAGGACCAGGGACACCTGCACAGGACCAGGCTGCTTTCTCCAGCATCCTAAACCACTGGAGTACCTGCAATCATTTCGCTTCACAAACTGTGCAAATCTGGATACAATTTTTTCTACTTGCAACATTTACTGACTTGTTTGCCTGTGCTCTTTCTGCTTGGTAAAAGCATCTTCTTGTTTGAGGTGGGTTGATCCTTTGCTCTAAGTCATAAAAACTCCCTTCTAACTCACATACCCTTTGGTTATCCAGTAAGACTAGCTCAGCAATTCTTTTCTTCTATATCAAAATTTGCTTCCATCTCTATTCCTTCCTCAGCTTCTACATTCAAAAATCTTTCTGTCAAGCATCCATATCTGTGAGACTTTCTTGTCAAACTTTTATCCTTCCCAGCAATCAACCTCTCAGAATAATCAGGCTCTGGGTTTGTCTCATCTGGGGTCTGGCACTGCAGCTGGTCCAGCCTGGAAGAGCACAGAGCCCCAGAGAGCAGCAGCAGGTCACAGGGAAAAGCAGGCTAGAAGCTGTGTGCTCCTCTTAAGGTCACTATCAGTTACTTGAGCCACAGAATAAGTTTTTTCATTCCAGAGAGATTTTGTACTTTAACTCCTTTAGATGAGCAGGAACCTGGTGTTGGATTCGCTAGAACAGTTAAGGATGAAAACACCCAGACAGGTAAATAAGCAATTTGAGCAACCAAAGCAATGCTAATTGCATTATTAAAACTGTTACAAGACTGCTCAGAACATGCTCTATTTTCTCAGTGCTTGGGGAAACAGACTGATTCTGCAGATATTATTTTGCTCATCTTGTCTCTCTTTGCTGTCCCAACACAGTCAGATTTGGGTCTCTCACAAATGTAGTTACAAATGTTAAATGGAAGCTCTGTGACTCCCAGACCCATCAGAGCTCCTTTCCCACAGTGGGGTGGGGAGTTTTGTTTGTCTATTTCCAGAAAAGTGATCTCAGAAAGACAAATATCAACTCTCTGCATTTGTCACAAGCCCCATTCGTGAGAACCACATTCAAAACTGGAATTTTTCACTCTAAAGTGAAAAACATCTGTAGACATCATAAGAATTCAGATGGACTTCAAAGACAACAGCAGAAAGAAGACTAAACACAAGTGCAGAGCCCTAAGCCTTGAAGGCAGAGACCTAAGTGCAAAAATATCCATGGAGTTCCAGGATTCTACATAGTGATTTCAAGAAATTCAACATCAGTCCTTAAAAAAAAAAAAAAATCGATCACTTCCTTCTGTCACATCACATTCACTGCTGCACACTGGCCAGAAAATCCTGCCACCAAGCTGCATGACCAGGTTCCCCCCACTGCTGAGGGGCATTTTAAGCTGTACTTAACCAGGCTGTATTTTGCTACACAGGAGACTGACAAGTTCAAGAGTTTCACCAACCATTCTAAACGTCTTCAAATGGATTAAAGAGGTGAAAAAGCCACTCATTCTCAGTTCCCTTCCATGGTGGCACCTGTGACAGACTATGACAGATAATAAAATACATGTAGTTCAAATGTTACGTGAAATTTGAGTGGGTTTAAGCCCTAGGAAAGTGACAGGTGAGCTCGCAGAGGAGCTGTTACAGACATGAGAAAGTCACTACAGATCACCCTTCCGAGGACTCTGTTTCTGCCCAGATCAGCTCCTGCCCTCACAGGGACTCCTTCCCCAACTGGGGCTGCAGATGTGCTACAGGTGTTCCAAGTCTGGACTGGTGTAATAAAATTTATTCCAACTGAAATTGACAGTAGCAATACAGACTGTCTACTGGATTTACACCTTGACAATAATCACCACTGTGCAAATCATTCTGGAGCTCTGCACAAGAGATGATTTGAGTCAAGGAAATGTCACATGGAAAATACTTCTGCGTGGCCAGAAATAAGGTTAGTAGTTCTCTGCAATCCCATCTAAAAAGAAAGTGAATTTACTGCTTTATGACACAGAATAGATTTCTAGATTTTGAGTCCTCCTACTCAGGCAAATCTCCTGAGGAACCCACACAAGTCAGAGAGAACCAGAAATGAGAGGTCCTTCCATTGCTCGGTGCACATGGCCACATCCAGCAGGCAGCAACCCTGTCGTGTATTCATTGTGATGTTACACCTTTATGGGCCATCAGACCTTCCCACCAAAACAACTCAACACTGCTGACATTCTTTGAACTTCATGAGCAAGGAGCTGAGCCTCTGTCAGCTGCACAAAGTGCTGGGTTTGGGCTGCATGCAGCCTGCTGGGAGCCCCTTGCCTGCAAGGAAACCTAAAGAGCCAGCTGGGACAGAACCACAGAGTCATGCAGGTTGGAAAGGGCTTCTAAGATCGTCCCCTCAAACCATTAAGACAGCACTGCCAAGCCCACCACTAAAACACGTGTGATCCATGATAAAGGCTCAAACCAAGATACTAAAACTGGAAAAACAGACAGGAAACAAAAACATGCTTCAGTTGGGCTTACATCAAAACACAGGCAGCGGACAGCTGTCCTTCAAAGAGCATTTTTAACAACAATAACAATGTCAGCAGGCAGATGTCCTAGCTGTGGACATCCTATTTATAACAAAACAAAAATCCTTACGGGCTTACACGAGCTGCCGGCTGAAAACAGTGTACAGCCTCGTGACTTACAGCCGCTTCTGCCAGGGAAAAGCAGAAGTTTACCAAGGGGAAGGAAACAGCAGACAAAAAGAAGACAAACAGCACCGCGCGTGGTGACATCGCTGCAGCGCGGGGAGCGGCCGGCATGCAGCGGCGCTGGGCGGGTGGGCAGCCTGCCGGGGCTCGGGACCCTGCCCGGGGCTCCGGGACCCTGCCCGGGGCTCCGGGACCCTGCCCGGGGCTCGGGGCTCGGGACCCTGCCCGGGGCTAGGGACCCTGCCCGGGGCTCGGGGCTCGGCACCCTGCCCGGGGCTCGGGGCTCGGGACCCTGCCCGGGGCTAGGGGCTCCGGGACCCTGCCCGGGGCTCGGCAGTGCCCTCCCCTCACCCCCGGGCCAGGGCAGGGCAGGGCAGGCAGGTGCTCACCACAGCCTGCCCAGCAGGTGACACCTGAACCTGCACTGGTGAGGTGGATGTGTGGGTTCCCTGACCACGGCAGGAGGACGGAACTGGACGATATTTAAGGTCCCTTCCAACCCAAACCATTCCCCTTGGCTTTGGAAGTTCAAATGTCAAAATGCACAGGCACCATCCATCAAGCACTCTGCACCAGTTTCAAAAGTTGAGCTTGAGCCAAGCAAGAACTGAGTCTTGAAAATTCCAGAGGTGGTTAAGAAGCTGCACATAATTTGGCAGTTTAATTTCTTCTCAGCTCCAGATCTGGTAAGGTAAAGTTAAAACTTTCAAAGCTCAGTTTTCTCTCAGAAAGAAGTCAGCACCTTCTCTGCTTCTGCTCTCGCTCAAATCTTCTGTGCCTGCTGTGCAAACACAGGCACGCTGCTTCCACGTCCAACAATTCCCACTCAGCATTCATTGTACCTCACAGTACAATGTGGTGCCATTCGAAGATTTCCTGCAAATCAGATGGACACACCTGCATAAAAATGTCTGGTGCCCTGAGCTGGGGAGCGCAGCTCTAAGGGGCCAAAGCAGCGTGTTTCAAAGTGACCCAACCTCAGCTCACAAAGCACCACTGGACAAACAATGGCAGAAAACCCGAATTAAGAACAGAGCAATGACTTTCGGAAGTTTCCCTACCAACACTGCCTTTTGAAACACAAAGAGAGAACATGACTACAATTATATCTGGAAGTCACAAGAACTTTGGAACACAGACAGAGAGAAGGAAAAAAGATACAAATGCATGTGCAACAGTACAAAACCACAAAATTTGGCTCCAAAAGCAAATAAAGACAAAAAGCCAGCACCCAAAAGATATAGCATATCACACCCCACCTGCTGAAAACCACAGCACATCCGTGTGCCAAAGTCCTGATGTCATCCAGGCATTGGGGTTAAGAACTTTCAGAAATTTCCCCTGCCTGCTGTGACAGCTCTCCTTCCTCAGTTTCTCTCTGATTACCATAAAAGTGTATTGGGAACACAAAGACAACCCTGTCAAGTATTTCACTCCAGCCCACCTGCTCTGAGCTCCACATAATGCCTTGCTGGCACATCTATCTGCCTGGAAATGCTCCCAGACGTGCCATCCCTCAGCACTACATTCTGCTTGTTTCTGCAAAGCCCCTGAAGCCCCGATTGATGGAGCAGGTCTGTGCAGAGGGTCCTGAGCTGCGACCATCCCTGGCTGTGTGCACAGACACTGACAAAACACGGGCAGAGTCACAAAACAGATCCACTTATACTTTCCACTTTCAAATTTTACTCCAACAGTGTATTTTTAAAGTCAGATATTTCTTCTTTTCTCCAAACACCTTCTAATGAAATTCAAGGAGTTTGATGTTACAGAGCAGATAATCAGATAGATCAGTCAAGCTCGTCGTCTGAACCCCCAACTCATCCACTCCCCGGGGGCTGGTACGAGCAGAGCACTCATCAAATTACAGAGATCTGTCATCCTAAACCCTCGCTATCAAGTGACAGGGGATGCACTGAAACATCTGCAAAGCTGTACGGAAGGACACAGGGAAGAAGAGCCTTTACAGCACCCTCCAGCCTTTACAGCACCCTCCAGCCTTTACAGCACCCTCCGGACGGGGCTGGCCGGGAGCCGGGGCTCTCGGACGGGGCTGGCCGGAGCCGGGGCTCTCGGACGGGGCTGGCCGCTGCCGGGGCTCTCGGACGGGGCTGGCCGCTGCCGGGGCTCTCGGTAGGGGCTGACCGGCCCCGGGGCTCTCGGACGGGGCTGGCCGGCCCCGGGGCTCTCGGCCCCGGCTGCTGCGGCGCTCGGAGCTGGCACGCCCCGCGGAGCCGTGTCCCAGCCCCGGTGCAGCATGCCGGCGCAGCAGAAGAAGCTGCTGTTCTGCACAGCCGGCGTGCTGAGCCTGGCCTGCGCGCTGGGCGCGGCGGCGGCCGTGGGCAGCCAGCTCTGGGTGAGGGGCACGACCCTGTGCAGCACCGGAGCGCTGCTCGTCAACGCCAGCGGCCCCGAGCTGCACAAGTTCATCGGCCACATCCAGTACGGGCTCTTCTCCGGGCAGCGAGTGCGGCAGTGCGGGCTCGGGGGCAGACCCCTGCAGTTCTCATGTGAGTACCCACGGCGTTCGAGCTGGCCGAGCCGCGCCCCGCAGCGTGCGCTGATCTCCAGGGTCAGTTACTGATTTTATGATACCGATACAGCCTGGCTAATGTTTCAAGAATCTATTACTGCAGTCACGCAGATAGCCACATCCCAAGAGATTTATACTGTTTCTTTTAAAAGAACATTTGGGGGGTTTCATTAATCTCTGTTTTCTTCCTCTGTGTGCCAGCATTACAACTTTACCTCCGTGCTGTCAAGAGCCTCAGGAAAGAGCAGGGGCACCGGCTGCTGTTGAGAAACAAAGCAGCCCAAAAGTTTGCAATCTGTGGCACTAATTGGAAGAAGGACCGGGGGAGGCTGTCTGGGGGATGCTGGCTGACTTGGTACCTGACACACAGAGTGTCAAAGTATTAGTAATGGCTTCACTTTACATTCATAATCTATTAATCTTCAAGGATAAGAAGATCGATAAAAAAATTATGAAGTGAGACACAATTGTATCCAGCAGCAGGCAGAACAGGCAGTAAAAGCCAGTTGCTGTGTGTACAATCCTATTAATCTTCAAGGATAAGAAGATCAATAAAAAATTATGAAGTGGGACACAGTTGCATCCAGCAGCAGGCAGAACAGGCAGTAAAAGCCAGTTGCTGTGTGTACAATAACTGCAGCACACAGATCGCAATTATTCTGCAGCACACAGATCGCAATTATTCTGCTACAACAGCACATGCAAAGGCCAGTTGCTGTGTGTACAATACCTCCCCTGATCACAATTATTCTGCAGCACACAGATCACAATTATTCTGCTACAACAGCACATGCAAATTGCTCACACCTGTGATTTAATACAAGACTAGGTTGCCAGACTAGGTACCAGAAATTATTTACTATGTAACATTTTCCAAAAGTAGTAAACCAAGCTAATTTGATATGGTATCAGTATTTGCTCTCTCTAAATTCCATCACTAGTCTTTTTGTACTGCTGAAGTTCCCTGCTGTTGCTTGGTGTGCCATCCCAGTGTGCAGTTATTGCACTGTGGCCGTATTTTCAGAGGGGTCTGTGCAATCCAAGGATTTGGGTTGTGCTGTAGGTGACACTTATGACCCAGGGCTGGCCCAGCTGCCAGCAGCTCTGGGACTGACGCTCAGGTTCAGTCAGTGACAGCTCTGAGGGGTCAGGAGCATTCACCTCAGAGAGAACTGAGGACAACCTGCTGATCCTGTTCCCTGGGGCTGCAGCAGCCCCCTCCCATCACCTCGGTACCCTGGAAGCTCACCAGCAGCATTCCAGAAAGTAGGATCAACTTATAAAATACACAGCCACAGCTTAACGCACTCGCTGCACTGCAGCACGTCTGAGGAGAACAGACACAGAAAATAGGCTAAATGATTTAGTTCTGTGCTTGTTCCCATTAAGTGCTCCCCTCTGACCACTGTATCTCTTTTAATTATAATAGGAATTTGCTCTGCCAGCAAACCCAGTTCAGCTGGGGAAAACTTCTGCTCCATTTGTTCCCACTCATTCCCATCAGTTTCTAGGTCAGTGGTTCATTTTCTAAAGGTCTCTGCCATGCACAGCAGACATGGGTTCATTCAGGACCATGAAGGAATGTTTAACTTTCAAGACAACATTGCTTCTGGAATTAATTTTTCCTGATACATCACATATAAAATGTTAATGACAGAACCAGCTATAGAGGCAGGTGCCCAGGGGAAGATTCAATACCACACCATAACTTGTCTTCTTAAAACAAACCATACAAAATTGTATTATTAAACACTCAGTTTTGCATGTTTTCCCAAAGTATCAGACAGTGCCACAGGAGCTAATGCTATTCCTTGTAGGAATCCTGCAGAGGGAAGCACTGGAAGGGCTCGAGGTCTCCCTGGAGCCTTCCCTTCCTCAGGCTGTTGTTTTGGTGTTGGGCGCCCCAGGGCTGGGGGCAGCCCTGCAGATGGAGCCCCCCCTGAGCAGGGCTGGGGCAGAGTCCCCCCTGCCCTGCTGCTCACGCTGCCCGGGGCAGGGCAGGCTCTGCGTGCCAGAGCACCAGGAGCTTCTCACCCTGCAGCCCCCGTCCTTGTCCTCGGGCAGCCGCAGCATTCCCCACAGCCCCAGTCTGTGCTGGGATTGCCCTGGCCCACACGCAGCACCTTGCACTTGGCCTGCTTGAACTTCATGGGTTCTGCAGATATTTGTTTCATTAATTTCCCTCTCATTTAGTCAGGGAGATAAATGGACTTGGTACCCCATTTCCTGCTGCCCTGTGCTCCTGCATGGAGCTGCAGAGCAGTTTGCTGGTGCAGACTTTACACGGAGGAGTAATTGATGTGAGGCTGCTTTACTCTCCACACATTAAACCACAGCAAAGCAGCATCAGGCGTTCTTACCTCACTTTAGTCATGCCCCCAGAAAGCAGGAGCAGTGAAGTGTATTTCACAGCTCCTTCCAGGACACCTCCTATTTGCCAAACAAACAGGAATTTTTAAAAACCATTCTCTTGCTCTCTGAATGTCTATCTCTGTGTCCTAGACAAACAGGACCACAATTTGTAACACTAGCTTAAAAGCTGCATAAAAATATTTAGAATAAATTATTCCTGAATTTGCGCAACCACAATCACAGCATAACTTCCTTTCCCACGTTACAACCCTTTGTGGGACCTCATGAACATGAATGAAAAAAAGTTTCCTCTCCCCAGAGAGGAGGGATGGCTAAGCCTTCAGCCAAGGGAGATCAGCCCCATAACACTGGCACTGGAAGAGACCTGGGTGACACCTTGTGCCAGACCTGCCCCTCAAATACAGCTTCCTGGCTTGCCCCAGAAGATGCTGTTCACAATAGGAGCAAATAACACCCTCAGGAAGGGGAGGAGAGGCTTTCCCTGGAGCTAGCCTCTCTCTCTCCTGGCCAGCCTATGCTTTTGAGTTTCACAGAATTTTTCTGCCTCTAAACAGCCACGAAAAGCCATTTCTAGTGAATTATTTCATCTGGTTGCATTTAGAAAAGCAGGACCCAAAACATCACTACGAATGAGCAGGAACCCCCAGCCTGACATCAGAGACAGCCTTGCTTAATGTGTATAATAATGTTGTGTTTGTTTTGTTTTCAGTTTTTCCAGATTTGCTCAGAATCATCCCTGCAAGTATCCACGTCAGTGTCATTGTCTTCTGCACAGTGCTGATTGTCTTTGCCCTGGTGGGCGCAGGGTTCTTCATGTTCAATGCCTTTGGCAGCCCCTACGAGACGCTGCACGGCCCCGTGGGGCTGTACCTGTGGAGCTTCATCTCCTGTGAGTACCCAGGCTGGGCTGAGGCTGGCACTGCTCAGCATCACCCACTCCTCAGCAGGGGACAGCGGGTTAAACTGTGGCTGCATTGGCTCTAAATTGGCAAAAGCAAACCAGGAGGAAGGTGGGTGGCTCTGCCACATGAAAACATGTGTCTTCCAAATTGAAATTGAGAGAGAAAGTGGGGAAATCCCTCGGAGGGGGGTGGCAGGATGGGAATGGGGAAGCAGATGCAGGAAGTCATGGCAGAAGGGCCCCAGAGTGGGGTGGCATCACTGGCACCCCATACACAGTCAGAACCAGGAGCCATCCCAGGGGAGGAAAAGGGGGGGAAACAACCAAAATATGCCAGTGAAGCAGCTGGTTTCACAACAGGAGGGTTCCAGGCAAGGTCAGCACACCGAGCAGCACAGCCTTGCCAAGGACAGGAGAGCTGAGCAGCCAGAGGCTGGCAGCAGCTCGTGGTCTCCAAGAACCACTGCCATGCAGGGATAACAGCCACACACCTGCTCCCTGGGCTGCTGGCCTGGCTGACAGCAGATTTACCCTGACTTCACAAGGTGTTACACATTACAACCATAATTTAACAGAGGACTTCAGAACATGTTTGTGTTCAGGCACGCAGAGAGCTCCATTATGCCCAATGGGACAATGAGCAACTTAAAGCTGGACATGAGCACAGATACTTCACTAGCTCAGGGCACTAAAGCAGCCATGATAAATATTCCTGCTCCTGAGCCAAATTCAATTAGAAAAGCTTACCCATTTCAACAGCCCTTGGCTTGGATTTCATAAATAATCCCTGTTGAAGCTATGGGGCCATACAAACACTCTCCCTGTGGTATTTGGCTGCATACACATCATGCAGCACGGCTGAGGGATTGCTGAGGTGATGAGCATCTCCCCCTCCCTTTCAGGTTCCTGTGGTTGCCTCATCATGATTCTCTTCTCCTCAGAGGTGAAGATCCACCACCTTTCAGAGAAAATTGCTAATTTCAAAGAGGGAACTTTTACATTCAAGACTCACAGTGAGCAGTTTGCAAATTCCTTCTGGACCATCCTGGTTTGCTCCCTGGTGCACTTCCTCAATGCCCTGCTAATCCGATTTGCTGGATTTGAATTTCCCTTTTCAAAATCAAAAGATTCAGAAACAACCACAGGAGCAGTTGACTTGATGTATTAAAATGATGGGATTTAAGAACATTTCAAGCAGAGAAATTTGTCACTATTACATCAACAACCACCAGATGTACCAACTTGTGAATGATTGCTCTAGGGAAGGTAAAAAAAGGGAAGTTTCAAATAAGTGTTAATATGGTGTAAGCAGTGAACAAAAGATAATGTGCTGTATGGTAATGTCTGGATGGAAAAGCCCTCTTTCTTGGAGTAAGGTCTTAAGACCTTTTTTTTCTGCAAACTGTTTAAAAAGTGGCTGGTGTGAAGAAAAACAGGAATCTCAGTAGCATTGCACTGAATCTGGAAAGCCCAATCAATGGGCTGCAGGAGAAGCACGCAGTCACCAGCAGCAGCTCTGCCCTTCAGCCCTGGTGAAGGCAAGGATGCAGCCTGACCACGTCAGAGCAGCAGGGCCCAAGGACACCCAGCAAGGGACAGGACAGCGCCCAGGCCCTGCCCCAGCACCCTCAGACTCCAGCTCAGAGGGCACAGCCCAACCACCTGCACTTTGATCTGGCTTCACATGCATGGCAACAGCATCATTTCTCTCCATGAAACTCTCTGGGTTTTTTCCTTTTAACAAACCAAACTCTGCTCCAAACTCAAAGTCCTGGGAGCCCTCGTTTCCCCAGCAGTTGCTGCAGCTTGGTACAAAGCTGACACAGCACAGCAGACGCAGGGGAGATGCCCCATGCTCCTGCTTGCCTGAGGGAGGCAGCCAGGCTTGGCAGAGCTGAACAAACCCTCTGCAGCTCACCAGGAAAAGGGCATTTCCCAGGGCAGAGCCACGGGAGTGAGCCCAGGTACCTCCACCTTCCACTGCCCCTCCAGAGAACAGCCCTGCAAGTTTTCATCAAACAATACCAACAAACCCCGTCAGAACCCCGGTGAAGGGCAGCAATAACACAGCAGACAGGCTCCCGTGCAGGCTGCAGCTCAGCAGGGGCTGAGGAACAAACACAGGGAAGCCAGAGCAGATGGACACATCAGCCCTCATCCCTGGACATCCCCAAGTCAGCTAAAGCAAGAGACGCTTCCCCAGGCAGAGCATCATACACCAAACTCTGCCTCTGTGGGGTTACCTGGGCGCCTTGGAGATGCGCAGCTCCTCACAGGACACAGCAGCAGCCCTCAGAAGAAACAGAGGCAGAGAGCCCCTGCCCCATTTATCCGCAGGGGCTGTGCCCAGCTGTGGGTGAGGAGCAATCCCTGCCAGCTGGAGTGAGAGCAGTCCCAGCCAGCACCCACCCAGTGCCCAGCCACAGAGCAGACACAGGTACCAGAGCCCTCTGCGCCTCAGGACCTACCAGCCCACAAGGCCTTACTGACTTTGATGTAATTTTTGTATTTTTACTGTGAAAGGCAAAACACTGCCGGGTTGTTGCAAAGGTTTGTCAGCTGTATCTTTCCCAAGGTAGCTCTGCCCCCACATCTCCCTGGATTTTATCAGCGTGGAAGGGCTTCTACAAGTCAGCACAACTCCCAGCTTTTTTCATCATTTTCTTCATAATCTATATGCGTATTCCTCCTAATGTTAATGTATGTTCTTAAAGCATCATTTGTATTGCATCTCATGGTATTGTTTACTACACAGCAAACCCAAACACATTCCTTTACTGTGCAGACAAGAGCAGCCCCAGCCTGGGGTCTGGGAGTCCTCACAGGGGTCCCTGTGCCCAAAGCCCACCCCCACATCCCACCCTGCACCCCAGCATCAGCCCAGCTACTCCTAAGGCAAACAACAACTTCTTACCAGCAAAATAAAATTAAAACTATCTTTGTGGGTTTGACGGGCTGGAAGAGCAGGTATGATCTGCCCAGTGTAAACTGTGAGGGAGCCCCAGCACGGACCCTGAGGGAACCCCAGGAAGGACCCAGGGGGAGCCCCAGCACGGACCCTGGACTTCCTTGCATCCATGAAAATGCCCCTGCTCCTGTTCCATGCTGGAAAATGCCCCTGTTCCTGATCCATGCTGGAAAATGCCCCTGCTCCTGATCCATGCTGGAAAATGCCCCCGTTCCTTCTCCATGCTGGAAAATGCCCCTGCTCCTGCCCCGTGCTGGAAAATGCTCCTGCTCCTTCTCCATGCTGGAAAATGCCCCTTGCTCCTTCTCCATGCTAGAAAATGCCCCTGCTCCTGATCCATGCTGGAAAATGCCCCTGTTCCTGCCCCGTGCTGGAAAATGCCCCTGTTCCTGATCCATGCTGGAAAATGCCCCCGTTCCTGCTCCATGCTGGAAAATGCCCCTGTTCCTGCTCAATGCTGGAAAATGCCCCTGTTCCTGCCCCGTGCTGGAAAATGCCCCTGCTCCTGCCCGTGCTGGAAAATGCCCCTGTTCCTGCCCCGTGCTGGAAAATGCCCCTGTTCCTGATCCATGCTGGAAAATGCCCCTGCTCCTGCTCCATGCTGGAAAATGCCCCTCTCCTGCTCCATGCTGGAAAATGCCCCGCTCCTGCTCCATGCTGGAAAATGCCCTGTTCCTGCCCCGTGCCGGAAAATGCCCCTGTTCCTGATCCATGCTGGAAAATGCCCCTGTTCCTGCCCCGTGCTGGAAAATGCCCTTGTTCCTGATCCATGCTGGAAAATGCCCCTGCTCCTGCTCCATGCTGGAAAATGCCCCTGTTCCTGATCCATGCTGGAAAATGCCCCTGTTCCTGCTCCATGCTGGAAAATGCCCCTGTTCCTGATCCATGCTGGAAGATGCCCCTGCTCCTGCTCCGTGCTGGAAAATGCCCCTCTCCTGCCCCGCTCCTGCCCCGCTCCTGCCCCGCAGCCCCCGCAGCCCCCCGAGCGGCCGCTGCTGCGGCATTAATCATTGATGCCGCCCGGCTCTCCCGGGGCTCCGCCGCGGCCGCAGCGCGGTCGGTGTCTCTCTCGGGGCAGCGCGGGGCACGGCGGCTCCGCAGCAGCTCCGGGAGCACCGAGGCTGCCATGGGTGAGCCGGGGGCCGGGCACGCTGAGCCCGCCTCGCTGGAGGAGATCGCCAGCAGGATCTCTGACCTGAGCAAATGGAGAGAAATCTTTAGTTTCCGTGGGTAAGACTTTTATTCTGCTTCTTTAACACAGTTTTAATTCCAGGTGGTTATTTAATGGATTTTTTCATGTTTTATTACAAAACTTATGTGACAATGACAAAAGGTCCTCGTGTACTTGGTAATGAAAATGCTACAGGTCTTATTGTTCCTTTGTTCTGGGGCTCTCTTCTGGCTGGGCTCCAGTTTCTCCACACACTAGTAATACCTCTGTTGGGTGTTTTCATTTGTACTTTATTTTATGCTTTCAGCTTGGAAATCAACAGCACGACTCATCAGGTAACTCCTTTTCCAAAGGTAATATTTTCTGTTTGTCTGGTGAGTTTTGGGCTGTCCTTAGATGGCAACTGAGGAGGTCACACGTCCATACCTGCAGCACAGGTATCTATGGAGATTCATTTCTCATGCTGCTTCTTCGAGAAACAGACTTCAGGTATTTTGAAGTCAAATGGGCAGACCAGTCCTACACCTGTTTAACCTTTCCATCAAAAACTAATGGTTTTCACGATGAGTTTTAGAAAACAAACTAACATCTCTAAAATGGGAGTATTTGGAAAGCCTGCTATGCCCTTAGGTTGGGGGGCACTGGAGGGTATTCCCTGTAATTCAGACAAACGCAGCACTATTACCTGCTGCAGTCATCAGCTCGGAGGGATGTGTTGGGAATGTCTGAAACCAGCTGGAAGTCCAGGGCAGCCGTTCCAGGGCAGCCCGTGCCCCCAGCCCGTGCCAGCCCAGGCGCCGTGCCCACCCTGGCAGCGCTGGGGCACGCTGGGTGCTGCAGCAGCAGCCCCGGGTGATGCACGATGCCCTGTGTGCTCCTCTCCTGCAGCAAGGACGGAGCGGCGCTGGCCAGGGACCGCCCGGAGCCGGGGAGTGCCCCGGGCCACAGCCCCCCTCCACCGTCCCCCAGCCCCTCCTGCTCCCCCCGGGCACGGGCGGCCGCCCCATCTCCCCGGACACGGCAATGGTGAGCTGCCTGCTGAATTAACTATGAGCTGTAACTGAATCTCCTCAAGGGAAGGAGGCTGGGGAGCCTTTCCTGGTGCCCTGACTGCAGCCTTCAGCCTGCTGTCAGCTGAACAGGGTGTGGAATGGGGATGGATTATTTAGGAGACTCTTAACAAACGTGGCTGGAATGCAACCTTAAAGCTGATACACAATAATTCTCAGGAGAGAACCAGTCAGATGACAACAGGCAACATTTCCTTGCTCTTGGGGGGTTTCCCTGACAAACAGCCTCAGGACAGGAGGCAGGATCATGGAATCTTAGAGTTGTTTGGCTTGGAAAGGGCCTTTAACACCATCATTGAGGGATTTCAGCTCCTGCTGAGTACCTGGCCCCAAAAGCACTGCTGCCAGGTGCTGTTGTCCAGCAGCTTGGCAGATCTGCGGGCAATGGCAGGACAGGCCCCGGTGCAATCTTCCCCAAAATGTGCACTGTACCCAAATGTAAGTCATTACACGCTACAACCAAGCTTCACCAGAGTGGCTGAGTGCTGTGTGAAGTCCCTGCACTGAGCTCAAACATCACCTTGGCTCTGAAGCTGAGGCCTGGCTCTAGGCAGGTGCTGTGCCACTGCTCTGGCTGAGGGCACGCGTGGCACCTGCACCCCGAGAGCCCTGGTGGGACAGACCCTTCATGCCAGGAGGAGAGCTCTGACCCTGGCCCCTCTGCCTCCTCTTCCACAGAGGCTGCAGGAGCTGCTCTTCAGGAACACGGCCCCCGTTTTCAGCTGTGAGTGGGCAGCAGCACACTTCAGGTTCCACCAGCCACACTCTGATCTGGCCTACGCGCTGCAGGCAGGAAAGGTAGAGTGTCACACAGCGCCTGGCACCAGCTGCCCGCTGCCACTGACACGCCTGGGAGCTGGCAGCTGGAGCAGGGCCTCAGCAGCACACACACCTGTACCCTGCTCACCTGCACCTCAGACACCTGTACCCCGCGCGTCTGTACTCTGCACACCTGTACCCTGTACACCTGTACTCTGCACACCTGTACCCTGCACACCTGTACCCTGCTCACCTGTACCCTGCACACCTGTACTCCGCACACCTGTACCCTGACACACCTGTACCCTGCACACCTGTACCCTGCATATCTGTGCTCTGCACACCTGTACTCTGTACACCTGTACCCTGTACACCTGTACTCTGCACACCTGTACTCTGCACACCTGTACCCTGCACACCTGCACCCCACACCCGTGCTCAGGAGAGATACAGCAGGTTGCAAAAAGCCTGTATCTTTTCTGAGAATTAGACTTACCTAATTATTCCTGCTCCACCTAGACGTCCAACAAGTGAAGTCACCTAGACTATCATTCACTGAGATGAAGGTTTTCTTCTTCCTTATTTACCATCACAACGCTGCACCCAAGAAAGCAGAAGGCCAGGACACACACTGGAATTGTAAATCCCCCCACATTGTCCAGAGGCTGGAATGCTGGGTACAGCCCCGGGTGCCACTCCCCGCATTCCAGAGCTCGGTGCTCACAGAGGGAGCACAGCCCTGGTGGGTGTCAGCACTGTGGGGAGCAGGCACAGGCACTCCTGTGCGCAGCCTCACATCAGCCCTGGGCTCCCTCAGCACCTCTGTCCCTTCGCTGCGAGGCCAGAGAGAACAAAACACAAGCCTTGGGGCTTCCCAGCACACATGGTCCCCGGGGCTGGGTGCTGCTCCCTGGGACAGAGGGAGGAAGGGCACCCACCCACAGGATCCCTACATGGCCAGGGCTACCCTGCAGCTCCTTCTCCACAGGGGCTTCTCGCTGTCCCCCCGGCCAGGGACTGCTGGGAATGACAAGTGCTCGTTCAGACTCCTCAGGTGGCAGGGACTGTTTTTCTGTTCCTAGGGAGGAACGAGAGCCATTCTGGCTGCTGTACAAGCACATGTCATCACATACCTGCTCTTCACAAGAGAGACAGAATGTACTCACCTGGAAAGGCAAGTTGCTGGGCCTCATGGGACACATGAAAATTATTTCCATGCATTGCTTGGTCAGTGCCAGCCTCTGGGTTCAGGCAAACCCAATCCAGGTTCAGGTGTGCAGGTACAGGTGGGGATATGCACTGGGAGAGAAGCCTTGGCTGACCCCCTGGCGAGGCTTCTTCCCACCAAATCCTCTGATTTCGGGACCGTGGCATGTGCCCCCATCTCTGCGGTGTCACAGTCACAGCCCCTGGTTTCCCCCTGGCACAGGCTGTGCCGGGTCGGGCGGTGGGAGCAGGGGCAGGCACTGGCCACGGCCCTGGCAGAGACCCTGTGGGCAGCAGGAGGAGGTGGCAGAGCTGTCGTGTGCCTCGTCACTGCCCCCATCACCACGATGCCACGTGAAGGCTACAGGGCCAACAGCTTCACAGAGAGAGTGAGTATGGAATGCCTTCTGCCAATGGGATTTTCCTTAGAGATACCTCTGGCCCGAAACATAGACTCTCCTGCACCTGCTCCCCCACTTACGTTGCCCTACAAACAGGGATCACCCCAGACCCAGGTCTTGCTGCGGCCCCTGATACATCCACCTCCCCTTGACCAAAGCCCATCTTCCTTCTCCTGCAAAAAGGAGAATCCTGTCAACACAAAGCTGCTGCCCTGACTCCCTGCACAGCGCCAGAGCCCACAGCTGGGGAAGGGACAGAGCAAACCTTTGCCTTGTTCTTTCACTTGACTAACAGAACCATAGGATTCAAAAGCTCAGCTTTTTGGTATAATTCATGTCTCCTTTGCACCACCCTCACGGTGCCATGCCAAACAGATCCGGCTGTTCGAGTTCTCGGAGAAAGCTGCTGTTCAGGGGTTCATCTCTGATCACATAAACTGTGTAAGTGGATAGCTGCTTTATCCAAGTTATTTTCTTGCTAAATGACATCTTATTTCCCATTCACATTGGGCATTTTGGACACAGCAGTGTTAACATCATCAGGACGTTCACACAGTTAACGTACAGTTAGTTCATGGATCATTTCCAGCCTTTCCTATGGGAAGGGATCCTGCTCCTGTGTAAACCCCTGTGACTTTACCCATTATTCCAACTCTCTCAGCCCACAAACACTGGGTAAAGGGGCAGCATTTTGTACATCATTCAAAGATGTGATTCCTTGCAGTCTCAGCAAAAATATGGGAAAAATAGTACAAAACCCGTTTAGTCAATAACTGGAAGTTTCTCCTTTCTTTTTTTACCTGATACTGTTCAAGAAAATTAGTTACAAAATCTTCCTGGAACAACACTTTACTCATCTAACTCAACACACTCACAACTAGGGCTGTATTGAAGGAGAGGAATTGTTTTAATTAAATATGATTTACAGGCTATAATTCCTCCCCTGTGATGCCTTATTTCTCTTTTCAGTTCAAAGGTGAAGGAAGCCATGGAGTGATCCTATTTTTATACAGTTTACTTTTCTCTAGGACACTTGAAAGGTACATGTTGCTTTTTAAACATTTCCCTGTAATTTGGTTACATCTCCTGAAAAGCCTCTTCCTTTCCTCCCCTTTCTGTTGGCCAGGCAGGGAGGTACAGTGCTGCCTCTGGCACAGGTCCAGTGCTGCCCTAATGATCTGTGCTTGGTCACACAGGGTCCAAGAGGATTTGGGTGACACAGCTCCTCTGTTGAACATCAGTTCTGGGAACGTCACCTGTACAGAGGTAGGACCAGCCACATGTCTCAGGAGATCTGGTTTTATTATTCCCACGTCTGATTTAGGAAAAAATTATCACTTGTTAATTAATCCAAAGAAAAAAAAAGAAGCATAAGTTCATAAAAAAATATTTTGCAATTTTAATCATGACTGTGCACTTAAAAAACAGATGGTGACCATGATGATGATGGTGATGATGATGATGATAGTAACAATAATTTTGAAAATGCCGCTGGCAGCCTGGCATTCCCCTACTCGTGACAGACGTGACAGAGCGGGGAGCAGGCCATCACCTGCAAGGGGCGTTGCTCCGTGCCCCCGGGGTGACGGGGCTGTTCCCCGCAGGCCGTGCTCAGCCTGCTGCTGACAGGCCGGGCGAGCCCGCGGCAGCTCGGCGGCGGCCGGGAGCCGGAGCCCGGCGCTGGGCACGGGGCTGGCGAGGCGCCGTGGCAGCGGGGCCCCGTGGGCTTCCTGCGCTGGGAGCGGGCGCCGCTGGAGCGGCAGGTGAGCGCGGGGACAGCCCCGGCCAGCGGGACCCTCGGCACGGCCCGGGCTCCTGGCAAGCGTCCCCCGCCCAGGTGAGCCCCGGGCTGCGGACGCCCCGGCTGCCCGTGTGGCTGTGCAGCCTCTCGGGCAGGCACAGCGTGCTCTTCGGCACCGACAGCCGGCTGCTCTCCGACTGGAAATCCGAGAGACTCTTCCACCTGTACTTCTACAGCGGGCAGCAGGAGCAGACCCAAACTGCCCACCTGACGATAGGTACGGACCCAGACTTACCGGGGACTGAGGTATGGGCATCACAGACAACTCGTTCCTGTGTTAAATACTCAATACGAAGTTTAAACACACCAGGAAGCTGCACTGTTTCATGATTAGGTCAAAATTTATAATAACATTCTCCCCAGCTGCCGGGGTTTTACCCCTCCCAGCCCTCAAGCCCCCGCAGCCGCTCCCTCTCTGCCCCACCCGCAGGATCAGGGAGGGAATTGGAAGGGTAGGACCTAAAGAACTTGTGGGTTGAGACAGACAGTGTAATAAGAAAAGCAAAAGCCACACACACAAGCCAAGGAAAATAAAGAATGAATTCACTTCCTCCATAGGCAGGCAGGAGTTGCAGGGCCCCAACACACACAGCAGTGCCTTGGGAAGACAAACACCACACTCAAAAGTCCTTTCTCTTCCTTGCCCCCACTTCATATACTGAGCACGGTGTCACACACCTGGAGTACCCCTTTGATCATTCTGGGCCCTTGTCCTGGCTGTGTCTTCTCCCAGCCTGCCATGCACTCCCAGCTTCCTCACCAGCGTGGCAGTAGGAGGAAGCAAAAAGGCCTTGGCTATGCTGGCACTGCCCAGCAATAACAAAATCACCTCTGTATAACCAACCCTGGTTCAGCACAAATCCAAAACACAGCTCCGTACCAGACACAGGGAAGGCAATGAATTCTATCCCAGATAAAACCCGCACACCAGCGCAGCGAGGCTGGCGCAGCAGAAGCCACCTGCCTGGCTGACTGAGGCTGAAGCCTCTCTTCCTGCCCAGCACCAGGTGCCACCATGGCCCTCGTGTTCCCCACCAAGTTTCATATCCCCCCAGCAGAGATAAACTGCTCCTGTAGCAGCGCTTGGGTTGTGAACCAGGTTTTGTGCTTGTGGTGCAAGGTTCTTGTTTCTCTGCTGCTGTGCATCACTTACCTTCCTCACTGGGTGCCTCCTTCCTTTTGCTCTCCTTTCACTGCAGCATTTAAAGCAAAGTCAGAACCACAGATACTATCTGAGCATCTGCTCAGAAAAGCAATATGCAAACACAGCGTGCAAGGAGCCCGGAATTTCCCGGGGGGCCCACGGTGCAGGGGCAGTCCCCAGCCCGGGAGGCCCTGCTTACCCTGCCCGCTCCCTGGGGCAGGACAGCAGCACATCTACACCAATACAGCTGCAGAAGCTTCTGCTTTTGGCCTTCACTGAAGCCTTTTTGAGCCTTTTGGGGTTGGGTTTTTAAGATTTTTTTTTAGACATTTATTTTTCATTTCCTCCTCAGACACTCATTCACATCACTGGGAAGAGGCTCAAAGAGAAGGCCCCTGCAGCCCAGGGAAGAGGCGCCCAGCCCTGGAGATGGCGATCAGGACCAAGTGGGCAGGTGCGACCGTCAGCTGGAACGGGACCGACCCCTTCTTCTGAGCAGTGAGCAGGATGGACCCCTGCTCCTGAAGGGTACTGGCATCTCCCACTCACTACCAGCTGCACTGGTCACTGCAGTCTGGAGGACAAAAAGCTCTCTCCCCAGTCAAACAGCCTTCGGTGCACTGAAGGGACACCCTGTCCATAAGGCATCACGCCCAGTGCAAAAGCGTGCACTGCAGGAACAGCGACTTGCAACCCTGTCCCACTGCACACCTTTTGCAGGCGGAAGGATGCAGGTTCTCCTGCTCCCCACGACAGCTGGCAGGAAAAGGAAAGAGTCAAGCCCTGGCACAGCTGCCATGGCAGTGGTGGAGCCTCCATCCCTGGAGGGACTTAAAAGCTGTGCAGATGTAGGATTTGGGGACATGGTTTAGTGGTGGCCTTGGCAGTGCTGGGGTAATGGTTGGACTTACTGGGTGTTAGAGGGCTTTTCCAACCCAAACTGCTCTGGGGTCCTGTGATTCAGTGATTTTACTGCCTTTGCCAAATCCTGGCGCCCTTTATTCATCTGACAAGCATGGGCAGGGCACATTGCTTCTAGCTCACAGAAACCACTGTCCACTTCCTTTTTCATTGTCATTACTCCAAAACGCCCTGTAAATCACACCCTTACTGCGTTGCTAACAACAATTGAGAACAATAAACGTTCTGTAAGTGATCCAAAAACCTTGGTTGAGATTTATTGAATTTTACAAAAAATAAAAAGAAGCCGTGACACCCAGCCAGAGATCGTGCTGGGCCGGGATGAGGAGATGCTGGTTACAGCTGCCGTGGGGTCTGCGACCCCGCTGCGGGGCCGCGGCTCAGCCCCAGCTGCAGCCCCGGGCACGCACAGCTCCCGCCACACCGGGACAGGGCCCGGGCTGCGGGGGGGCACGGTGCCGCTGAGGGCGGGCGGTGCCGCTGTGGGGCTGGCAGGGCACGGTCCCGCTGAGGGGACACGGTCCCGCTGAGGGGACACGGTCCCGCTGAGGGGCTGACAGGACACGGTGCCGCTGAGGGCGGGCGGTGCCGCTGTGGGGCTGGCAGGACACGGTCCCGATGAAGGGACACGGTGCCGCTGACAGGGCACACAGTCCCGCTGAAGCCACACGCTCCCCCTGAGGGCACACGGTCCCGCTGAGGGGACCCTCCCGCTGAAGGCACACAGTCCCGCTGAGGGCACACGGTCCCGCTGAGGGCACATGATCCCGCTGACAGGGCACAGGGGCACACGATGCCGCTGACAGGGGACATGATCCCGCTGAGGGCACACGGTCCCCCTGAGGGCACACGGTCCCGCTGAGGGGACCCTCCCGCTGAAGGCACACAGTCCCGCTGAGGGCACACGGTCCCGCTGAGGGCACATGATCCCGCTGACAGGGCACACGATCCCCCTGAGGGCACGCGGTCCCGCTGAGGGCACACGGTCCCGCTGACAGGGCACACGATCCCCCTGAGGGCACGCGGTCCCGCTGAGGGCCCCCTCCCGCTGAAGGCACACAGTCCCGCTGAGGGCACATGATCCCGCTGAGGGCACATGATCCCGCTGAGGGCACATGATCCCGCTGAGGGCACATGATCCCGCTGAGGGCACATGATCCCGCTGAGGGCACATGATCCCGCTGAGGGCACATGATCCCGCTGAGGGCACATGATCCCGCTGAGGGCACATGATCCCGCTGAGGGCACATGATCCCGCTGAGGGCACATGATCCCGCTGAGGGCACACGGTCCCGCTGGGGGCACACGATGCCGCTGACAGGGGACATGATCCCGCTGAGGGCACACGGTCCCCCTGAGGGCACACGGTCCCGCTGAGGGCACACAGTCCCGCTGAGGGCACACGGTCCCGCTGAGGGGACGCTCCCGCGCAGCGCGGGCGGCGCCGGGCGGGGCGCGCGGGGCAGGCCGGGAGCGGGGCGGGGGCCGCGCGCAGCCGCCGCCCCCCCAGCACCGCCCCGTCCATCCTCCTCCTCCTCCTCCTCCTCCTCCTCCTCCTCCTCCGCCGCCGCCGCCGCCTCCGCCCCCTCCAGCGCGGCCCGATGAGCCGCCCGTCCTCCGCCGGCCCCGGCCCTAGCAAGCCTTGCGGAAAGCAGCAGCAGCACGCTCCGTCCCCCGCCGCCGTCCTGCCGGGGACCGGCGGGGCTTCTCCGCCGCCTCCCCCCCCTCCTCCTCTTCCTCCCCCCCAGCAGCAGCAGCAGCAGCAGCAGCAGCAGCAGCAGGAGCTGACCTCGCTCTTCGAGTGCCCCATCTGCTTCGACTATGTCCTGCCGCCCATCCTGCAGTGCCAGGCCGGGCACCTGGTGTGCAAGCAATGCCGGCAGCAGCTGAGCCTCTGTCCCACCTGCCGGGGCTCCCTCACCCCCAACATCAGGAACCTGGCCATGGAGAAGGTGGCCTCGGCTGTCCTCTTCCCGTGCAAGGTAAGGATGAGGGGCTAGGCAGGGGGACGGGCGGACCACCCCCCATCCCTGTACCCCTGGGAAAATCCCCAGCCATCACCCCTGATCCCTGTACCCCTGGGAAAATCTCCAGCCATCACCCCTGATCCCTGTATCCCTGCAGAAAGCCTCCAGCCATCACTCCCCATCCCTGTACCCCTGCGGAAAGCTTCCAGCCATCACCCCTGATCCCTGTACCCCTGTGGAAAACCCCCAGCCATCGCCCCCACATCCACATCCCCAGCCCGCCCCCCCACATCCCCCTGCAGAGGACACCCACCCACCACCCCGGTTGTTGAAACTAGAATCCTCTGTTCTTTTTTAAGAAAAGGAATATCCAAGCCTGGACCTCTCCAGCTGATCTGGACGGATCAGATCTAACTGCAGCAGCAGATCTAACAACTCAGCCATACAGCCCATTTTATCTAAGTGCTTGCGTTAGGAAAAAACAACCACAAAAGACAAGAAGAATCCATTTTAAGTGGAAACAAAAACTAAGTAAAGCTCAGCTTGAATGCAGGGCTCCATACAAGTAATGTAGAATTTGCAATGAGCACGAGAGCTCTGGTCGATCACCTGTGTTTCCAGCTGACGGGTGGGAGCAGCGCATACTAGTGCTGGTGCCTTTGCTGACGGCTTGTGTTTGGTCTCTTTCCAGTATGCCACAACAGGCTGCTCCCTGACACTCCACCACACAGAAAAGCCAAAACATGAAGCCATCTGTGAGTACCGTCCCTACTCCTGCCCGTGCCCTGGTACCTCTTGTGACTGGGAGGGATCCTTGGAAGCCGTGATGTCCCACCTCATGCATGCCCACAAAAGCATTACCACCCTTCAGGGAGAAGACATCATTTTCCTTGCCACGGACATTAACCTGCCAGGGGCAGTGGACTGGGTGATGATGCAGTCGTGCTTTGGTCACCACTTCATGCTGGTGCTGAAGAAGCAGGAGAAGTGTGAAGGTCACCAGCAGTTTTTTGCCACCGTGCTGCTCATTGGCACCCGTAAGCAGGCAGAGAACTTTCAGTACAGACTGGAGCTGCACAGCAGCTGCCACCGGCTGACCTGGGAGGCGTCTCCCTGCTCCATCCACGACGGCGTGCACGTGGCCATCCGCAACAGCAACTGCCTCATTTTTGATACAGCCACCGCGCACCTTTTTGCTGACAACGGAAACCTCGGCATCAACGTGACAATTTCCATGTGTTGCCCGTGATGCGTTGCTAGCGGGACTCGAGCTGTCTGGATGTAGTGCTTCACTGGGGTTTGGTTTCGGTTCCCGTTTTTTACGCTCTTCAGCTGTGTCATCTGGTATGCTAAGGTTTCTGACTAGCCAACGGTTGTAACTTGGGCAGAAGAGGAACAAGAGTGTGCTGTAAGTAATGTGAGCAGGACAAGGTCTTTTAAAATTCTTGGGTGCCTTAGGAAGATTACACACACACAGTTACCTTTTATAATTTAATTATATTTTATGTAAAGAGTGCTTCCATTGGATATAAGGCTTAAGAGGCTCCTGTTTGGAGCACACCTAAAAGCCCTTTCATCAGCAGTACAGACTCCCTCTGATGCTGGTGAGCTTTAGTATCACAAGAGGGTTTGGTTTGGAAGAGACTATCATCTGTTCCAATCCTCCTGCCATGGGCAGGACACCTTCCACTTTCCCAGGCTGCTCCAAGCCCTGTCCAGCCTGGCCTTGGGCACTTCCAGGGATCCAGGGGCAGCCACAGCTGCTCTGGGCACCCTGTGGCACGGCCTGCCCGCCCTCCCAGGGAACAATTCCTTCCCAGTATCCCATCTCACCCTATCTGCTGGCAGTGGGAAGCCAGTCCCCCTTGTCCTGTCACTCCAGGCCCTTGTCCAAGTCCCTCTCCAGCTCTCTTGTAGTACCTTTAGGCACTGGAAGGGGCTCTTAAGTTCTCATGATTTGCCCTTAGTGAAGCCATGTTGGCTACCACCAATCACCTCCTTATTTTCCATGTGCCTTAGCATAGCTTCCAGGAGGATCTGCTCCAAGCTCTTTCCAGGCACTGAGGGAGACCTCACCACCTGTAGTTCTCTGGATCTTCCTTATTCCTCTTTCTAAAAAAAGAGGGTTATGTTTCCCCTTTCAGAGTCAGTGGGAACTCCTCTGGACTGCCTCAGCTTCTCAAACACGATGGATGATAGTGGCCAAGCCACTTCCTCCACCAGTCCCTCTGAACCTGCAGGTGCATCCCGTTAGGTCCCATGGACTTGTGCACCTTCAGGTCCCTTTGACGTCCTCGACCCCAGTCCTCTCCTGCTGCGGGCAGTTCTTTGTTCTCCCACTCTCTGCCTTTGCCTCCTGCAAGTTGGGCAGCGTGGCTGGAGCAGCTTGCCATGAAGGCTGAGTCACTTTCCCAGGCTGCTCCAAGCCCTGTCCAGCCTGGCCTTGGGCACTTCCAGGGATCCAGGGGCAGCCACAGCTGCTCTGGGCACCCTGTGGCACGGCCTGCCCGCCCTCCCAGGGAACAATTCCTTCCCAGTATCCCATCTCACCCTATCTGCTGGCAGTGGGAAGCCAGTCCCCCTTGTCCTGTCACTCCAGGCCCTTGTCCAAGTCCCTCTCCAGCTCTCTTGTAGTACCTTTAGGCACTGGAAGGGGCTCTTAAGTTCTCATGATTTGCCCTTAGTGAAGCCATGTTGGCTACCACCAATCACCTCCTTATTTTCCATGTGCCTTAGCATAGCTTCCAGGAGGATCTGCTCCAAGCTCTTTCCAGGCACTGAGGGAGACCTCACCACCTGTAGTTCTCTGGATCTTCCTTATTCCTCTTTCTAAAAAAAGAGGGTTATGTTTCCCCTTTCAGAGTCAGTGGGAACTCCTCTGGACTGCCTCAGCTTCTCAAACACGATGGATGATAGTGGCCAAGCCACTTCCTCCACCAGTCCCTCTGAACCTGCAGGTGCATCCCGTTAGGTCCCATGGACTTGTGCACCTTCAGGTCCCTTTGACGTCCTCGACCCCAGTCCTCTCCTGCTGCGGGCAGTTCTTTGTTCTCCCACTCTCTGCCTTTGCCTCCTGCAAGTTGGGCAGCGTGGCTGGAGCAGCTTGCCATGAAGGCTGAGTCAGAAACATGGCTGAGTACCTCAGCCCTGTCCACGTCCCAGGGAACAGGGGTTCCCATTTCCTTCCTTAGAGGGTCCACATTCTCCCAAGTCTTCCTTTTATCACCTATAGAGGTTGCTTTGCTTGTTGCCCTTGGTAGCCCTGGCCAGATTTAATTATTTCAGGCTTTAGTATTCCTAACCTGATCCCTGGCTGCTCACAATCCTCCCTGGCTGCCTGTCCTTTCCTAGTAGGTGAGAAAGGAAGGAAATCCAAGCAACCTCTCACAGAAGAAGCAGTGAGGGGGACAGTAGGTACTTCAGCAGTGTTTCTCCATTCCCTGCTACATTGTGGGAGGGAAGGGCACTGGGTCAGCTGTGGTGGCTTCAACAGGAAGAAGGAGAGAAGGGGCTGGGGTATGGCATGGTACCTTCACATGGAATTGCTGGCTCCTGCCTGCTTTAGGGGATCAGGCCAGGTGCAGGTGCAAGCAGGAGGCACAAGTCTCACAGACTGCAGGTGGCTGGAGCCAGAGACACGGGGTTGTCCACGTGCAGCTGCCCTGGGACACACTCTGCTATTGACTATTGTAAAAGATTCATAATATAGCAAGAGCTTTATGGCCAGTGTCTTGTCATTTGGTATTTAAGTTTTGTTGCCATATTTCTTTTTATTTTGCAATAAATATTTTGCAAAACCTACACTGAGGAGCTGTGCTAACACACGAGTGCGCGGCACGTGTGCTCAGCCGTGCTGGATCAGCTGGGATCCCCTGGCATGGGCTGGCTCTCCCTGGAGGGTCCTTGCCCCTGGCACCGTGCTGTCACCACAGCTGACTGTGCCTGCAGCTGGTGCCCGTGCCATGGGAACGTTGTGCTGGAATCATGACAGCCAACACCAGCTCCCGGTACGGCTGTGCCGAACCTCGTCCGTGCGCGCGCCGTTTGGAGCAGGCAGCGAGCCACGGGGTGACACTGCCAGGGGAAGCCTCGCAGTGGTGGAAAACGGCACGTGTGAACATATACAGTACAAAAGGAGGAAAACCAGTCCTGACTTCCTCCTGGGACAGCTCTGGACTTAGGTCCGAGCCCTAAGCACCTGGCAGCAGCCCTCAGAAAAGTGCACAAGAACAAGTTTGGCCTCAGTGAAGGGAAGCTCTGCCTGGCTGCAAGAACTTGGAAGTAACCATGGAAAAAACCTCCCAAGGAGTTACTCTCTAGGCACTGAATACCAACAATTAAAGATGCTACATCTGATCTCACGCTGTGCTCTGGCAGAACTCTGGCAGCATCAGCCTGGTGAACTAATTGCCTCCTGCATAAGCAGGATCAAAGTCAAGCCATGATCCCAACACCTGTTACCACCTGTGCTTTCATCAAGCAAGAATTCCTAAGGATTTGATTAATTTTTCTGTAATTCAGCAAAACTTGTAGCTTTCTTACTGACAGTTGGGACATAAGAGGATTTTTGCGTAAAGCGAAACTCCAAAGTGTGTCTTTGAATATAGCAGTATTAATTAATTAATCCAGTGTTACCTGTAATCCACATTAGATAAGTTAACACACGTTATCATTAGGTCTGTCCAGACCACTCAGTTCTGAAGGAGTGGCAAATGCTTGTTAGATTTCACTTCAAAAAAACCCAAACAAAATGAACCCATCACCTTGTGTCTTTTCTGACTGAAACAGTTTAGAATAAGGAGTACCTGAGCTGGCACTGCCAAGAAGGGAGGTGTTTCCAATTCAGGTCATTGGGTAGACAGGTGACTCATTTCACTGAGGATTCCCTCAGGTTTCAGGGAATCTTCCCAAGGCAGCTGATACGACTAGCCAAGTAAAAGTGTGACAGTTCCTCAAGACATTCAGAAGAGGTTATTGATTCTCTGAACAGAACTGACCCCTCTCAAGCCCCCAGCCTTGAAAGGGAGGGCGAAGCACATCGGACAGAGCTCGCAGCAGACAGACCTGCATGCCAGGCAGAGCCCCAGCCGGGCCACAGCACCTGGCGCTGCCCTGCAGCCCACCAGGAGCACCTGCTGCGGTTCTAGAGTTCTCTCTAAAAACTATTTCCACTTCAGACGCAAATTAAAACGCACCTGTCCAGGGACTGGCGAGTTTGGAGCGAGCACAGCGCACCTGGAGCCGGCCCTGTGCAGTCGGGCCAGGCGCTCGGCTCCGTCGCGCCGCAGCCGGAGCCCAGGAAGGCGAGGGAGCGATCTCGCACAGCCACCGGCAGCTCGGCACCGACACCGGGGAGCCGCCGATGCACTGGCCGCACCTCAACAGGCTCTTTCCGTCTGAAAAATAAGTGAAACTGACTTCTCTGTTGTGGAACTCACTGCGAATTCTGACCGACAGCACAGGTAAAGTAGCACACACCTGCTCTCCCGAGGGGAATCCGAACCTGCCTGGGTTTGCGCAAGACGGTTTTCTCTCTTTTATTCTCCGGGCTGTATGTGCAGATTCCTGGGAGAGGTTCGGCAGCGCCAAGTCCTACGGGAGAGATCAGGAAGATGTGTGACAGGCGTGTGACACAGCGTAAGGAATCCAGCGGGGCAGTGTCCAGCTGCAGACAGCTCGTGTCCGAACAGGCAGCCACGTCGGGTTTGGTAACGCTCCGGGGCACGGCGGGACCAGGACCGAGTGCGGGGGCTCGGGCCCCCCAGCACCACGGGCCCCCCAGCCCCGCGGTGCCGCCCGCTGCCCCGTGAGAGCCGCCCTGGCTCCGCTCCCGGCCGCGGGCACCGGGCGGAGCGGCCGGCACAGCGCCCGCAGCCCCGCCGAGCGCGCACGGGAGCGGAGCAGCCGCAGCTGCCGCCCC